GTTGCCAAAAGTACAGGATGTACTTGATGCAAGTGGGAGAGGAGGGGGGGAGCACGAGTCCACGCCGTAACTTGGTACAGCTGTAAAACAAACATTTTTTTGTTCCGATTCTGTTCCTACTTTAGCAAAGGAGCTGGGAGGAAGACAGTGAATGTCAAGTAAGTCGTTTTTCTCCCCAACCCCCACACCCCCCCAGGCACACATTTTCCTTTTAACATTCTTAGATTACCACAACCTTTTAAATTCACTATACTGTACTTACATACTGTATTAGGCACACCAGCAATTATGTTTGTTAGTATGACACATCCATTGCTTACACTTAGTTAACAAAATAACTTAAAAGTCGCATGCGCCATCCTCTTAATAGTGTTATAATCAATGGGACCATGGAATGAAAGCCCTAAAAATTACCCCCCACCTCTGCATTCCCCAGGCTTCTGCCTCTGCCAAAACAATCCATGCAGGGGGCAGTCTCGTCAGGCTCAAGGTGAACACTCCGTCAGTTCTTCGCAGGCAGCGATCTCCTCTTACATGTTCTTGCCATGTTTTCCCCATGGTAAATCCAAGGAACTTTGAAGAAGACTCTGTGTAAAAGGAAACAGAATACATTAATAAATTCATTCCTACGGCTCTACTGACTAGGGGGCAAAGCACCCACCGCAGAACAGGTTCATGACATGGAAAATGCTGTGCCAGGCTTTCTTTTGAGCAAGTAATGGCTATCCATATCAAAGCTGCTCTCTGGCCTACAGCTAAGAGTCTGGCATGTTTAAGCAATGGAGCAGGATATCCCCAACCTCTGCATACGGTGCTGCCAACTTCTTTCCCAGCTTTGAATGCTTTGACCTGAAAAGCAGCTGGAGGCAGCTCCAGGCACCTCAGCTACTCAAAGGGGAAGCACCAGGGCAGCCAACACCTTCGCTTTCATCGAGGTGGTGCAAATGACATAAAAGATGGGAATTACTGCTACAGCCCTCCAAAGAGCGTAGGATCTGACGGTTTACCCAAGCGCTTCTAGTTGCCTCCGAGCCGCCTCACACACCTGCTCTGGAGTACAGCTGTGTGAGAGAAACAGCCACAGGTTCCAAGGGGAGAAATGGTGCTTTTCCGATGGAACAAAACGTACAGCTCGTTTAGCCTTGCTGTTGGCTGGGGACAGGTATATTGCCCGATTACAGTCCCCACCCTGTTAGAGACAGAGCGTGGGGGATGTCCTGGATCCCTTGTCCCTCCCCACCCCACTCCCCACTAACTTATGATGCTGCAGAGAAAAAAAAAAAAAAAAAAGAAAAAAAGAAAAAAGAATTTGGTGTTCAACTTATCAGACTTGGACCAAGCCTCAGCTCAAACCAAGGTTAAATAGGCCTGTTCTAAGCCTCTTAAAGATAGGATTTATATAGTAATTACAGTAATTGAAACTGATCTTTATAATTTTTATACTGCCTAAAATTCTGCTGTGTCATATGCATCTGCAGAGCCTGAGGACTGTGCTTCTCGGAGAGAGCACTGCAGTCTTGAAAGCAGCCATTCAAATGTATAATGGAGAATTATCGCAGCATGAGTATGTTCGAGATTATAATGAAGCACGAAGAGTAGAATTAGAAATCCTGGGAAAAGCAAGGAGTCTGTATTTGAGACAAGCAGTATTTTTTAAACACTTTATTTTCTTGGGAGTTTATGGAACTAGATCTTCACTACACCCGGTACAAACGGCATTGAGACTGCCCTTTTTATTCTTATTTAATTTCTTTTCCTTTGCTACAATCTTAGGTCTAGATAGTGAACATAGTGCAAAATATATCTTGGCCAGACAAAATCTCCACATCCACTTTCCAGTTTTCTGTTGTGCAGGGAAAAATACCGGAGTGCAAAGTCTTTGCTGTACGATAAAGAACAACTTCAGAAGATTTGGAGATCTGATAGGGGGTTTGGCTCCACCTTCAGGAAGCAGAAGGCAAAGAGACAACACCGTTAAGTTTCAGACATACTTTCTGCAGAAACTGAAGCCTACAGCCTCCTCTCATTGACATCTACTGCTCCCCAATGTGTCTTTGCTTCACATATCTAAAAGATTCCCGGATCTGATGCTGTGACATTTCTACATACTTGATTCATCTCTGAAGAGTCCAACTCCTCCTGGAGGCACTTGAGGACTCGTGGCAGGATGGCCAAAGGTAACGGATACATGAACAAAGAGAGCTGATATATGAAGAAAAGTCAACGGAAAGCAGCTCTGAGGTGAAAAAAAGAAGTTGCAACACATAGGATGTCATAGAGCCATGTACACTGTCAGTGCTAAGGTTTCCATACAGAATGCGATTTTCTCTTATAATTCACAGAGATTAGAAAGGTTCTCTGGGTAACACAGATGGATTGAGAGGAAGAAAGTGGGAAGAGTCTTGATCAAATTTCAGTCTAGCAAAACACTTAAGCATATGCCTAAAGTTAAGCTATTTTTTCTCCTCAGATTCAGGCAGAAGATGCAAACAGAATAATCTCTTGTATTTCATCTCTTGGCAGACTCTGATGCAGGCTGAACCCAGAACATAGTATCTGGTTAAAAAGGCATGATTTAAATGAATTAAAATGATACATTTTTTTAAAGAAGCCATATAGCAACCATTTATAATATCAAAAATGGCAAAGTAGTTAGGGATGAGACGACACTTGAGTTTGAAAGACTGGATGATATATTAGTGAAGTAGTAGGCAATCACACAATTAGTGACAGTCCTATGAGGCAATGGAAACGTATGGCTGCTTGCAGAATCTTGCCTTTGGCATTTCCCCAGCTGGGTGCTTAAGCACCCAACCTTATTGTATTCAGCATCATTTTCTGGAGGAAACAGGTTTGAAAACTGCAGAGCAAGCAACAGGAATGGTTCTCAGCACAGAAATGGACTAAACACCTAATGAATCTAAAAATAAAAAAACCCAACACCGAGAAGAGATGCGAGAAGACTGAATAGACATAGCTGTGTAAGCAAATATAACTGAATATACTCTTGAGGAACAAAGGAAACAATTCTTGATGGGGTGACAACAGATGTTCTCCAAAAAAATTCTAACGGAGCATTTCAAACACAAAGACCTTCCTGTGGAGCTGAGAAGTTTTACTGGCAGACGTACAGTAATACGTCTTTGTAAACATAATAAAACCTAACATTTAAGGTGTTATCAGGTCCTGAAAGCAGAAGTGATATCTTCATGTAATAAGTGGTGGGTGGTGATGGAGAGGGAAACAGTTAGGATAACAAAATACTGTCACAGGAAGTTGCCACAACATGGTTGTGATTTAAATCACAGGAGGAATAACTAGTGAGAGTGTTCTAAAATATCTCTAAATCTGCTCTTTTGGAAAACAAGCTCTAAACACAAGTGAAAGATGCACAGGTTGACATAACTGAACAAACACAATCCAGAGTAATTTACTACTACGGTAGGAATACCTAAGTACAACCACTTTTGCACTGTGCGAGTGAATGCAAAGTGCCCAAAGCTGAATGCTTCTACCAGCTGCTGCTCTTTCAGATGATGGTTAAGCAAACTGCAGAAAAGCCAACAATGGACATTAAAAAAAGAGGGAAAAAAAAAGAAAGGACGGGTATACAGAGTCTTTTTTGCAATGAGTGAACTGCACCAGTACTTAGGGAAGATTTGGATTTAACTCTGGCATGGATCTGCAGCATCTTCAGTGAACAGCTTTATTCAGGTTTTTGAAGATTTGGCACTTTATTCTTAAACTCTTACTTTTTATGTTTTTTACTTTTACAGCTACAGAATATTAGTTCACTGTCTTGTTGGAATGTTGAAAGGATTCCTGAATATCTGCAAGGCCAGCAGATATCATTTTATCTGGTAATGTGACAGGAGGATGCCATAGTACATTGTCTAATTATTTTTATTGCTTTGCAACTGTTTTCAGGAAAACAATCCAGCAACAAGATTATTCCAGTGCAGTCAGAGCAATCAGAACTACAGAAACACTAGGATGGACAACTTGATTGACAGGAGAAAGCTAAAGCAGGCGGCAACACAGAAAAACATCATAGGACAGACATTCTGATAAATATTACTGTAGCAAATTTATTATTAACACAGTGGGACAGCTTTACATCTTGCATCACACTTTTCACAGCCCTTATGGTAAACATGCCATATCTGACAATTACAAGATGAAAACAAAGACCTCACTAAAGCTCTACTGGCCCTGCAGCACTATCTGCTTACTCAGTTAACCCCCTCTAAACTTCAGCTAAGGCAACTGAACAAGCATATAGAAATGCAGAGATGGGTGTTCAGATATAGACCGTAATTCCAACAGTATCCAAGTTCCAAAGGTTATGCCATCCGTGGCACTAATTTCTAAAAGGCTTTACAGACAAAAGAGAGGGTTGTAAATTAAGTGGAAAGTTGTTAGTAAAGAGACAAAGGAGCAAGCAGAATACACCATTTAAAGCGAACAGAAATAAAATTGTGCTAAAGCTTGGAATATACTGCTCTGTCTGGTCACCTGTGGCTTCATTCTGACTGACCTGACAAAGCAGTGCAGTCCTGACAAGAGCACGCGCTGGTATCACAAACCAGAGAGCACCAGGATGAAAGAATCCCACAGCAGTTTTTTATTTCCTAGACTGGTTGACACACATCTTCTGTTTCTACAGAAACGCTGTAACTTGGAGTAACAAATCTGTCTCTCTGCTGGCTACTTGGTTTCTGGGATTAACAGATTATCTGATGGACCTCAAAACTAATCATGTTTTCATCACACAAAATAGCTCTTTTACAGACATGAATGAAGCACAAGATGGACTGCTGAAATCATTAAGTCAAGCCCTCAGCTACTTGTACACATGGAGATACATTTTAGAATGAAATCCTGTGTGATGAGTTGCCCAAGGCTATTTTTTAGTATAATATCCATGGTATCTTCCTATTTTCACAGCTATACTATCAGTTTCAGGGTTAAAAAACAAAAAGCAGACAAGTCACAGGATGATCTTAGCCATAAGATTTTATTTGATTCAAGCGTTTATTTTCTGTTCACTTCCTGTCTGTTTTTGAAAGTATTTCAGGAAACAAAACTGACATGCACAAAGAGCATTCAGTGAACGAGAGACAAAAGGGAGAGGCAACAAATATTAGGCAAGTGAACGAAGCTAACAGAGTGTTCTTGTCTCTTTGAATCCACAAGTGAAATGCACGTTAGCAAGTATTCCAAAACTACATCTTTTTTGCATGAAGGAAAGAATTAATGTTAAGCACAAAGTACTCCTTGTGCTTTATTCTCATTACGTGGTATGTCAGGTTACGCTGATTTGGAAAAAAACCCCCAGGATTTCTTTGCAAAGCTTTCCATGCAGCAGTCTTAATGTAGGTTTAAAAGAGACTAAAACCCACAAACTGCTCTTTAAAAACCAATTCAGAAATCTCATTTTTTTGTAATTCCCTTAAAAATAACGTTTGTGGACACATTAATAACATTTTGAAAGTTTCATCTGAAAAAAGAACAGCCTAAATTTCTGAAAACAATCGACACTAAAGTTTGTATCACATGGATTTCTCATTCATTTACCGCCAGTTTTCATTAGAAGGTGAAGGGAATGTTTAAAATTGATCAAATAACATGAAGATTCTGTTGACATGTCTTCTGTCTCTCTGTGTATATGCTGTTCTGTAAAGGAACATCTACATAAATCTTGGTTATCCTAAAGACTTTGGTCAAACAACTTTGAAGGACTGAAACACAACTGATCTAAAATTAAAACTTGAAGGTCTTTATTAGTACAAATAATTCACTTTTTTGACATTCTGTAGCTGTAAAACACATGCACCAATTTCTTTTCAGAAAAGGAAGGTATGTATTTCACTATGGATGGTTCCAAGGGAGGGAAATAAATAAATCAAAATAAGCAGAATGATTATTTCCTAACCTCAGGGCACCCCAAGACCCACCCTCCTTTTCTGTGATGTGTCATCTACGGTTCTCATTTTTATGCATCCATATTTCTACTGTTGATCAGCACCGACCAAATTTTGCAACTTGGCCAAAATTTGTCTTTATGCTTTAGAGAAATAATTATTCCAATTAACAGAATTTCACGGGGTACACAGCACGAGATTTAGAGCCATCCGGATTTTAACGAACAGGATAGAAAGGCAGGCAGTTTCTGTGGTTTGGAATATTTAAGTTCATTTACAAACTGCCACACATAGTTATGAAAACAGACCCCTAGTGTAATCCTGGCCCATCCATGCTAAAACTCATCAATTTCAATGGATTAAAGATCAGCATAGTTGTGCTGAACAACTCTTTCTCCACCTCTCTGTAACACTCTACTTACAGACAGAGAACATCAGTGGAAATTGCAAAAGTCTGCACATTTCACAAATGGTACAACTTGGCAACAAACTATGTGCTCACAGAAATAGAGCAGTCGCAAAGAAACTTGGCTCCTCTGAGGTAAACTCATTCACTTCAGGAATTTTCATATTTTATCATCTTTGTTCAGTGTACATCTAATGTTCAGTTCTGATGAAGTGTAATTAATAAGTCATCAGCAATTTCAGTGGACAACTGGATCCATCTGGAAAAAGAAAATGCACCTATGCATTTGGTGACACTTACTGCCAGGGTTAAGGATAGGTCTGCATTTTCCTGAAGGTTGCATTGGTAATAGTGAGCCGTGTAAGCCTCGCTCCGTAGTAATCTATAATGTAACTAGAGCCATCGGAAGGTCCAACGATCTACAAGAGAAAAAGAACCACGACTTTTCAATATGAAGTGAAATATATACTTTGTGCTAATGTCTCAATTACTGCTAATTTTCCCATCATAAAATTAGTCATGCTTAATTAGTCAAACAGAAACTAGATTTATTTTGAAGTTATGCTGTAGTTTAACTATTTTAGCGAGCACTGTCTCAGAAGGAACATTTCCCTAGGGCTTCTAATCAACCCAATTACACAGCCAGGCGCTGGTACTAGGTTAAGCTGATGAGGATTTGAGTCACAAAATCAGGCTAACAAACGAGTGGGCTCCAAACCACTTTTCTTGAACAAAGAAGGGTAGGCAGGAGAGAATTAGGTTGATGACAACTGTCTTTGAAATACTGCACAGGTAAGGAATGGAGAGAAGATCATGGCTTTTTTGTTCTGGAAATGCTAAATTGATGTGGGGTCACCGCTAAAATGAATAAGGAGAGATGAAAGATACTCTCAACTGTATCTGTAATCTGTGATCTGAGGCAAGATCACTGCAATAGCACAGAAAGAAATTGGAGAATGCATAAAATTTAAAAGACGTATATGCAAAGATGCATAATTTTAAAATATTTTTCTATAAACCCCTATAAACAATTCCTATATCCACAATGCATTTTAAGTTCATCACAGGCAATCTGCAGTTCGTGTGAAATGGATGCACTGTAGAATAAGACAATTTGGTAATTTCATGATGTCACAAGATGTCCCCCCAGCTGGGGATTTAACCATCATAAACCCTACGGTCACAGCTCTCAGGTGATGTGGGACTTCTATTTGGAGGAGAAGCAGAAAAAAAAAAAAAGTGGCAATGTCTTCTTTCCTGCATATTGCACGCACACCCCAGATGATGGGCTCCATCAGCATAAAACACAGGCAAACACAGAACTTCAGAATCCTGGGAACAGCAGAATGTCTCTGCAAAGTCCAACACTGTGTGTCACATAACGAGCTCGTAGGTTCTGATAAAATGAATTTATGGTGTTACAACTTCCAAGCTGTTCATTATGAGTATTTATAGATAGCTAATCTGATTTTTAATTCAAACAACATATTGATATTTTGTATTCATATTCTACAACATCAAGCTATAGAGCTAAAATAAATGCCTTTATTTTTCAAGACACAATGGTTCTTAAGGCTTAAATGCTAACAAAGAATTAGCAATCGAACAAAAGCTTTAACAATCACAGATTTGTATCTTGTTTTGAAAGCCCTGACTTACCTGCATTGAAATAAGTATGAAATCAATTAGGCTACCAATTCCACAAAATCCTACAGTGCAGAACTTTAACAAACCTAAAAAAGGAAAATTAAATTTAACTGTAGCTTTCTGGTGGCAATCACATCCCAATTCTCTCCCCATCCCGGAAAAAAACCCAAAAAACCACAAACACACACATCTAGAAACAAACCTAAAGATCTTTAATTATCAGGGAAAAAAAACCAAACCACATATTTCTACATGCTGAATATACTTTAAAGATTTAAAACATTAATGATATATTCTTTTTTTTTTTTTTAACAGAGAAATATGCTTAAACGAGGAAAGGCAAAACTTAATCACCAAGTTACTCAAAATCTTCCTTTCTCTGACAGAAAAAAAATCCCAACTTGAGCTGCAAAATTTACTTATGAAGAGAAGGAGACTTTCTACCATCTCATAAGTTGCAGCACATACTGATTTGATTTTCAGAACATGTTTCTTTGGAGAACAATCCTTTGTATTATTTTTATATTTTTGCTGAAATAGGAATATATTTTGAAGATATATATACATATATATAAACACTTCTTTTTAACTGGTATTCAAAACTGGGGGGATTTTGTATGAATAAATGAAAGATTAATAGAAAATATATGGGAATAGCAGCTAACAGATAAATGTTTCATTAGAAGTTGCCATGCGAGGCAGACTTCATTTGGAAAATGCCTTCAGAAGAAGGAGGCTGTCTCAAAATTTTTAATTTTTTTTTTTAATATCGGTGGTTTCTTGTATAATTAATATAATATAATGAGTACTATATATACTGTAAGCAATACTTCAGCTGAGCTAGGCAAACATCTAGGTTATTTTGAGAATGAGATACTCATTGTGAAGACATTTGTCTCTTCACCCAGGCACAGGCAGTATGAAGGGGAACGTGCATCTGTTGCATTTAAGTCAGTTGTAGACTATGCTGAACAGGGAAAACACAGGTCCCTGCTAAAAAGCATATCCTCACTGTGCTCACAGGGGCCAGCACACTGCTGAGGCAAGAGGGAAGCACGCTGCTAACACCAAATGTGGCATCCCAGAGCACCTCTTCCCCCAGCCACGAGTCGTGCTGTGCTCCCTAATACCTGTGAGTAAAACCGTGCAGCTGTTACCCAAAGAGTGAGATCACTCTCGGTCAAATACCTGAAGGTCTCCTGACCTCCGCCTCCTCCTTGGCGCTCCCCCCCGCTCAGCAGCAGCGATCTTGTCCCACATACCACCTCCTCTCCCCCATGCCCCGTAGATGAGGCTGCATATGTAGGAGAGCGGGGGAGGAACTGTGTGCACGCCGAGGGAAGAGCATCCCACTGTCTGGATATAGCTCCCGTAGCTGACAAGATGAACCTAGCCTGATTTATAAACTCCAGGGAGACAGTTTATAATCTTTCCATGGAACAACACAGCAGTCAGAGAGAACAGGGAAAAATACTTAACGACCAAGAAGACGGAAGAGTAGTGGCAGGATGGTCTTTCAGCTGGTTAGAAGAAAAGCCTATGTGCATATTACAACTGAAGTGGTGCCACTTAAACGTGCAAAAACCCAAAGTGTATCGCTATTTAAAACAACTTGTTCCCAGTGTTTGATGCGTGAGACTTGCAGCAGCCAGACACAGTTAGCCTGGGTATCAGCACAGTAACCAAACATAAGGGCAACAGCTGGCTAAAGAAACACTAGCCTTAGGAAACAACAGTTAAGATGATGAAATAATGTCAAACTCTGGTGAACAGTTTACTTTGCTATTACCTACATCGAGTGCAATCACCATTTAAGATATTTATTTGTGACGCTCCTTACACCATCTCCTCTCACTCTCTGGTCCTGAACCTCGCTGCCAGTTGGCATTTTAGGAATCCAGCAGTTCTCTTACCATTGCTGGTTCCAACAGCAGCTCCAGTTCATCTGAGGAACTGGCTGCTCCATTATGTTACTGGATGTAGATGAACTGTTTCTGAACCTGGCATGTATTTCTGGAGCGCAGGGTAAAGTCGATTTTTTTTCTTTCTCCTCACTTCTCTCCCCACAAGCAGATCACACTGAGAAAATAAACTGCTCTAAAGCATGGAGGTAAAAAATAGTGCTCTTATGCAGTAATAACTTATGGTTTAGTTCACAGTGTGTGGGAGAGGAAGAGCTTGCCTTCCCTATTTCTTCATATTCAATAGCTTGTTTGTATTTGTGTGCTCTTTAAGCAAAGGAGAAGAAGAAAAATAAACCAAAGAGCATTTACAGTCTTCATTACGCTTGCGCAAAATATTTCAATGCTATTAACTTTTCTTAGCCATTTTTTGCCAAGGCATGGATGACCTAAAAAATCCCCAATCAACCCCTGTCAAGGAATCCAATGTACTGATTTTTATTCTCTTTTTTTTTTTTTCCTTTTACCTATTTGCTTTTGTCTTCTTTATATTTCAAAAGCTTGAAAACTTGACTTTGTAAGAGTTTAAGTATTTTAACTTTGGTTACTGGCTACAGTACGTTCCAGTAGGGTTAACAAGCATGAGACATAAAGATCTTCTATATTAGAATGGAGGATTTATAAATCTATATTACTACAATATATTACAAAATGATTACTGCAAATTATTATTCCAAATCCAATGGTCTAACAAAATGGCGCACCTTACTGAGTGCTTCCAAAAATGTATCTTTTTGTGAAACAGATGGACAAAGTAAGTGCTAATTATAGAATCTTGGGGGGAAAAAAAGACACAGATGTTAACACAAGATAAGGACAGATAATGGTATTAAAAAAACAAGGGTTTGCATTTAATGGGCAGAAACTAAAAATTCCTAGCTGAAGACACAGCAACATGTATAGCTTTTTCCAATTTGTTGCTCCATGTTATCTAGACTTACATTTACTCTCTTTGTCCAGCTCAGAAACAAAGCCAGTGAAAATAGTTTTAACATACTAAGGTATTTCCATTATTTAAAAGCCAGCGGCACCATGACCCTGGGAATCAGGTCCTAAAAAACAGTAACCAGAGGTAGGTCTTATTAAACGTCCCAGCTTCTGCAGAACTGTTATTAATGCTGTGAGCTATCTTGAAGGCATGCGTTTGCCACAATAAATTTCATATCCCAAAACGCTAGGTTTACTGTAAAATTTGTCTTTTTATTTTCCCAGTAAAATTAAGCAACATTTAAGTAGCTGGCACAGGAGTCAACACCACCACTTCTGTGTCAGTGTCTCACAAAGAATGCTGTGGTAAACATCAATGCAAAGCAAACATAAAGCAAAACTCTGAATGGCAATAATCATGTTTGCTTATTAGGATTTTATCAACTATATATCCATTTGTCACCACTCGCTTCGACAGAATAGCAGGCTGAGGACAACACAGGATTTTATCTTACACGACAATAAAGTAAGGATTCTAGTTGTAAATATTAAAACTACAACTGTCAGCCTTTATAACTTAAAATATAAGTATACACATACAACCGAGTCATAACAACAACCTTCACCTCAAAGAAAAAATAAGAACTTACCTAATGCAGGATAGCCTAGATAAAATCTATCTGCTCCCAACCATCCAAGAAATAAGGACAGAGCCACTGCCACTTTGTAGGAGTATCCATTTCTGTCAAAAGAAGCAAGTAATGTAGACAATGACTGCAAAATATATTCACTCATACTTTTGAGAATTAAAGCAGTGACTCATTTGCCTGCTGCTTCAGTTTAAAAAAACCAAAACACAACAGACTTGTTATTTATCTTCAATTAACGGACACAGAATTGATAATGTTAAGCTTTCAAACTGGGTAGGCATCCTCCATAAAGCAACCTCAGCTGTTACAACTCAATATACTCTTGCAGAATACAGATTATTCTGAAACTAAATCATGATTTCTTGTCAAGACATAATTCAGTTGCTGATGCATTCCCAGTTTCACAGAATACTCCCTAACAGTTCAGCCCTACTGAGACAACCCTACAAAGCGGTGTATGCATACTGTCTGTAGGCATTAGTCTCACACGCAGCCAAATCGAGAGGAACAGGATAGACAGGTGAGATGTCAGCAGAGACAGGAATCGCAATGAGATCTGAAGGAGAAATGAACCATGGCCACTGGCTGAAGGAGCTGCAGGAAGGATTCAACAAAAAGGGTAAGTCGTGTATCCATTTACTACACTCGAAAGGTAGGAAATGGCACGCTCACGAACGAGAAGAACTGTTGGCGGTACAAAGACGTACAGGGGTAGAGGGGTACTCTAAAGTGAAGCATCTCATGGTTAGGCATACAAAATAACCAGGTACTACAGACTTTTTGAGATTTATGCTAACTGGCGCCATTCTTGCTAACAGCTGGAGTGCTGTGCCACCCATATCTTTCAGTCGCTGCTGATGTGAACTTTACACTAATACACAAGCTAGAAACATACAGCTATCGATGCTAGAACCTGCATCCTTTGCTGCATTGGCAAACAGCTTCTGAAAATAAAAGCAAACCCAAATGTAATTAGAACTTTAAAAATATTCATTAATTCACTGTTTTGATATGTGCACTATTATGTGCCAGAAATTATTTAATAAGCCCACTGGTTGACAGTTGAATAAAACATAAGAGTTTCACAAAGACAGTAGCTGAGAAAGGTCCAAGCACCTTTATTAAGCACTTTCAATGCCAAAAAAGAGATCTACCTTTTTTGCTTATTATCTAGATTTACTGACTTTAAAACTTAATGGCAACATTAAGTGATTAAATCATGACTCTTACCTCAGTATTTGTTACTTAGCACTTATTAGCAACACAGAACATACTGGGCATTCCTGGAACCTAATACAACATAAATCATCATCTTTAAAACTGTCTTGTTTCCACTGTAAAGAACGCTAATGGGTTTATTTAAAAGTTGAGGTAAACTGTTGGAAATTGTTTATCACCTACAAAGTGTCAACAACGCCAAGGACACTAAAGCATAAAAAGAGCTCTTATATAAAAGGTGGGAACAGAGTTTAATTTGAGATGCTCCTGATCAAAACTAGTAACAAACTGAGCACTTGCCTATGCATTGAGATGCTTCTAAAAGCAGAACAGTCTGCAACTCAGTCAACAGCAAACTGATGGCAGAAGAAATCAGAAGCAGAAACATCTTAATCCTGTAACAAGGCTGCATCCACTCCTGCATTTCCTTTGTCTTGCTTACTCTTTCAGATAAAAATAAGCATCAAAGACCAAACCAGCAAGTAGGAGAATAACACATCCCAGAAATCTAAAGCAATTTCTACAATTGGGTAAAAGATGCAGTTTCTTTACGATTCCTCTTCTGATTTTTTCCTCGCTTCTCAGCCGCATCCAATCTTTATTTTTCTGCATGTTTCTCCCAATTGCCATGTTAAAAACTTCCAGTTCTTCCACACTAGTTGACACCAGGTACTGCTATAGTAGCTTCTGTGCTCTTTTGGGGTCTCTTGGCACTGCTCAAACACCTGTCCACACTGAACCCCATGAATTTCACAGACTACCATTTTATGGACTCCCTGCCTGGAATGGAAATACTTGAACAACAGACATTTCAAGTTTGCAGAACCAGGGCCTGCACATATTAAGCAAAATATGTGATAGAGTGCCAATTTGGAGAATTGTAGAACTTGGCCAAAAAATACCTATCTCCAAAATGTCAAATTAAAACCAAACCAAAGGTTTTCCTTGAACTAATACTAGGAGCAACTGAACTTGAACCCATCCACTTACACAAACATCTCCTGGTCTTGCTCTAATATAACTGGATCCCAGTACAGTTATCTGAACTGTTGCTAAATTACAGTTTTGGCTAAGGACAACTTGCTGATTTGTCCTTTACAAAAGCTGTGGACAGAGATTAACCTGCTGTCCCCATGCTAGAACAATCCTGCTATGGGAAGATGCCTTCTCAAACCAATTTTCTGGTTAAATGATGTGCAGTTTTTTCTGCCAGAAGACAGCTACAGTTTCCACCAGAACTCAGATAAGATGCTGGAAAATCTACAAAAAGCAGTAGAAATGGCAGGCCTGATGGTGTAATGTTTAAGCTGATGATTCCTGCTTAAAATAATGTTTCTAACACTTGGGTAACATTCATGATGCCTTATAAAAGGCTCATATAACAATCAGTGATTAGACCATTTGTTAATCAAGTGTACATATGAAGAGTGGCAATATTAATCTTGCTGCCATTTTTACCTGCCTTTGGGGCTTTATCAAAGGCATGCTTGCGGTAACTCTTTTTACATTCACAGTTGTATTTTACTGGAGTTTTCAGCCAGCCCACAAAGGGTTCTCTTCCCCTTCAGCCATACTAGCGGTCACGAGACTGGAAAAGTCACAGCCAGTTCTTTTGGTAGAGTAACAACTGATTATTTCACCATAAATAACAGTCATGATCAAGTAATAAACATCATAAGAAGGATGGTATTTTACTTCCTACGTAGATTTGGGGGTTTTATTAATAAAGAAAAACTATGTTTAAAAAATGTTTTTAGAAAATATATTAAACAAAAAATATACAAATACAAAAAACTCCAAACGTAAAAATTACTGTCTCCTCCAAAGAGGAAGCAATCTTATTAAACTAGTATAGCTCATCTTATTCTCAGTCCCCATCACAGATGGGACTGAAACGCAATTGTTTCTGGACAAAAATGTGACTGAAGTCTAGTTTGCTAGCATTTAAATTTGATTAGACGTAATAATATGTTTTCTTCAATTTGCTGAGCTTTGACTGTTGAGAAGACTAAATACAGAGAAAATATTTATGAAACTAAGAGGCAGAGCTGTACTTCTGAGTTAGGCAAATTATTGAGCAGTAACTATCACATCAGAGTTATTTGCCCACTCGTGTGATAAGGAATACCCGGCGAATATCACTGGAGTTTTAATTTCCGAAGATTCCAGTAGGACAAAAGAAAAAGGCTCCTGCATGAATCCCACAAAAAAGGAGAAACAAATGGTACTGACAGGTGTTCGCTGATCATTAGCACTGGCCAGTTGGAACATTTATTGGTATCCAGAGCTCTCCATTGCCCACAATGTGCTTTAGGAAAACTAGGTCCATCATTTTCACGTTTCAGAAACGGGCTCTTGAAAGACACAGAGGATTTGATTACATACAAAGGTTGCTTAAAAATAGAGAACAGTTCCTCTAAAAGGGATATTTTTTTTTGTGAACTGGAGACTTAAACTCCCCCAATATTCATGTCCACTACAACTTAAGCTGAAGCTACAGGCGCACTTTAAACTGGCATGATCCAGCACTGCCACTGAACAGAGCAGCCCAGCCCTCCTTTCTCCACTCTCTTTTATCCTTGAGTTGCCCTCATCTTTGTGCTGGCACAAGCACTTGAAGCGACTGTACTGTGACTCAAATTGGGGCACTGATCCAAGTTAGTTCAAACCCAGATCAGTTCCCTGATTCAGTACACGGTGGGGTATGTCAGATGAGGGGAGGCAGAGGTGTCCCCAAGTCAGCTCCTTTCAGCAGCTGTGCTGATTTTAAGAATACATGAAATGTAGCCCTAGCATTTGGGGCAAATTTTTGCCAGGGTAAAGTACTACATAAAGCAAAGGTAAAATACCAAGTAAGGCAAAGACACAAACATAAATAAACAAATGAGAAAGTGTCCAAGGCAGAGACAGATTTACTTATAAACATGTACATTGTATCCTTATACTACTTATAGTCTTTATTAGAGGACTAAGCACTGGGCAACATGTCTATGGTTCTATCTTACTTCTCTTTTCCTTTCTGTCAACACATCATACTATTTTAGAAAAACACCAGTGTGAAAACAAACATAAATTATTACAAAACCCAATAGGGTACTTACACATTGCGACATGCAATAGGCTTGTAAAATCCAACTTCATGTCCTGTAAAGACTTTTTCTATGCCAAGGTGATCTTTGCAAGTAATGTTTGGTGCTGGCAGACATTGAACTGAGGACAAAAAAATTATCTGAAATTAAGCGGTAACTGATTGGGCATTGTAGGGTTTTTCTGACAAGACACAAGTGAAATAAACTAAGTTCTACTGTGTAAGAGTCTTATACAAAGCACAGTACACATATGCATAATATTTCTTTAAAAAAATGATTTTTTCTAAGCCAGTCCCATGACTAACTTGTATTTTTTTCCTTGCTACAGATTAAGGAAAATATACAAACCTAATTGCTGCCCTAATTCTGCTGTAATTTCCATTCTGGCTCCAACATGAGTCAATGGGAAATCTGAACCTGACATACAGAAAACATTTTCATCATGAGAACAGTCAAATATTGGAACAAGTTACCCCAAGAGTTAGTGCCATCACCATCCTTGGAGGTTTTCAAGATCTGACTGCACAAAGCTCTGAGCAACCTGGTCTGAATTCAGTGCCAATGCTGCTTTGACCAGGAGGCTGGACTGCATGACTTCCTGAGGTCTCTTTCAACCCAAATGATTCTATTATTTTAAGATAAGGCCTGATTCTTAAGAGAACCAAAGTGGCAATCACAGCAGAAAGTGACATCTGCTAAAAGTATTACCAGAGCATTAGTCACTCTCCAATGCTGAAATCTGTTGTTTCAAAAGGAAAAATCCCAGTTATTTACACACCTTCTATCAGTTTTCAGTACATGTGAGTCCTGTTGGTTAATTCCAACAAAACTGCAAGCCAAGTTCAACATTTCTTTCCAGATCTTCCAATCATACACACAGGCAAGTGGACTAGGAATTGGATAATTTTTTTTAGTATCTATACATATTGCATAGGGACCAAAAAAAAAAAAATTATGGCTGGACTTAACTGCCATAAGGTCCTGCATTGCTGCTAATGATCAATGTGCCTAATTTAAGACAATTACAAAAATATATTTTCTTGTAAAAATTTTAAGCAAAGAAAGCAGTGTTTTCTTTTAGTTAGAAGAAATACAGAGTTGAAATATATTGATATAGGAAAGGCCACACTTCTCAGTGTCACACCAGTAAGACTCCAAACCTGCTATTCAGTGAGACTATGTGGATGCCTTGAATTAAACCCGTTTGTTTGGGTGACAGATCCCAGAAAGATGTTTAGAAATGCTACAACTTCAAGCATGATCCAGAAGATTAACTTTTTATTACTTCAGTAATACTGAAAAAGGAAGCGACTCAAATACCATAGGGACAAGCTAAAAACTGCTATGCGTGCAAAAACGTTGTATAGACACAGAAAACGAGATGTTAATGAATTTAGCAACTTTCTCCACTCTGAAGCTTATCTCCTGTTCAAATGTGCAGTGTATTAAACACAATCGCATGGTAACTGGTTAGACAGCTAACAGCCTGGGTTGTGATCAACGTCACACTATGTAATACTCTTTCTGCTCACTGACTTGACCATTGATAATCAGGGACACAATGTCAAAGATGATGTAAATGACTGAATAACTTAAACAAGGATCCATTTTGGATAGTATTTCCATCCAGTCTCTGAAAAGTATTCGGAAAACCTTCACTATCCCCAAGCATGCCAGTGAAGAAAATACTCCAGCATTTATGGAAAGCAAAATATGAAAGACAATGAGGACACACGTGTATTTTAAACGAGTGTACATAAAGCAAAACTGCTTGGTGTGCTATTAGATAACACAGAGACCATTTATTTCAGTGTCTGAAAACATCAGAAAACCTAAACAAATGTAGTAACCAAGTGATCAATTTAAGCGCTTTTCTGTCATACTCCAAAGTACATCAGAACTCAGCATCAAAATAAATGTGCTTTCAAAACAGAGCCTCATGGCACCAAAAACTCCTGATAGAAGGCCAATGTTGCCTTAAAAAATTTTTTTCAAAAATATTTTGAAGGCTGTTCTGTCATGTGTCAATTCTTCTAATAAGTATATGCAAAATCGCTATGACAGAAATGGCTTGTTTTAATCACAGTAGTGCAGGACAGAGCCTAGAGGCTCTAACAACCATTGAAGAGATTTACCAGAAACCTCACTTACAAATGTACCAATCAGAGACAATAAATTTATTCATTTTTGGACAAGCATCCAATCCACACAAGTGTTTTAGGCTTTCATATTAATGATATTACTAATCCCATGTTTTATAAAGCTCATCTAGGAGATATACAAATGCATAAATTGAACACTTCCTTGGAAAGCGTAGTTACTGTCAATATAAGTTATGAGTTAGAAATCCTTACCATATGCTGTGTGATTTGTACAATTCATTGGTTCTTGTGTACTATTGTCTATTTTAGGCTCATCGCACATATATGTTCAGGTAATTGAGGAAAACGTTCTTCATATCAAACACTACAACAGGTTTAACACTAATTTATTCCACCCTCTTTAAACCCTGAGGATTTAAGATGCACCTTGATGTCAGTTCCTACCCATCCCCCCAAAATAGGAACAGAACATTACCATACAGCAAATCTGCTAATCCAATTTAATACACCAATATATCGCATAAGCTCCACGTTTAATTAGTGCTGCAGTCAGCACTACCTTAAGGAACTACAATATTTATCAGTCACAGCCTCTGTATTTGAAGGCAACAAGATAGCACGCCTAATCTAGTCTTCTTCCCTTATTTCAATATCAGAGTACCTTTAAAGTGAGGCATTTGGCTGAGAAGATTAAATACATAGTAACATACAATATTCAAAGAAAACCTAAAAATGATAAACTGAAATGTCAGGAATTTGGACTGGAAAATAACTGAGCAGGAACTAATTTGCAGAGGTCTGAACTCCCACAGCCAAGTAAAGCAGGAGACGAAGTTAACTTTTACAAGATTTGCTTTCCTGACACATTTGATCATCAATAACTGTCAGCGACCATCAACAAACATTTCCTGGGGAAGGCCTGACAGGCCTCTGGAGAGTCAGGAGCCTCCCAGCTAGAGTCTAACACCTGCGCCCTGCTCCTCTGGACTGTGGAGCAGGACTCAACACCGTGCAAAGCCACTCGAGTGTCCAGCGAAAAAGGAGGTGGAGGGGTGGGGGAGAGGGGTCTCTCATCCCATGGGATTTTCTCTTTGAAATTCGGGAAGAGACCCCAAACCCGCACACAGGCACGGTACCACCCCCAAACTGAGCCGAGGCCGCAGCAGACGTGCCCCCTCCCGCTCCTTCCAGCTGAGCCCACCTCGCGGCTCCTGACCTGAGGACACCCGAGGGACACCCCGCCCTGTCAGGCACCTCACACCCCCACCTCCCCCTCCACCCGAGGCGGCTGGGCAAGCGGCCCCCCCTCAGGCAAACTGGGCCTGGGGCTAGGCG